CCATCTGTATGTTATAGCTAAAATTCATGCCTAATTTATCATGTAATCTTTGACTTGTTCCTCTTCAGTTTCAAATTTCAACAAAAAGTTATACATTTTTGCAGTCAGATGTTCGTCATTTGTACACAGATCAATTTTTAAATTCCATCTTGTATTGTTCAATTCCCCATGACTATTTATCTGCATGAAATCTTTATCTCAATTATGCAAATGAAAACTATTGAAAACTAAATCACTCTCCAATTATTTTCTTGATTTCATCTTGAACTTTTGTTTTCCTACATTAATAAGTCCTAATAAGTTAACCATTTTTTTGCCTGCTCTTTATTATAAAATACTTTCAGTGCTGAGAACATAAAGGTATCTGTGGATGCAATCTGGATTGATACTTATTCTATAATCTTAATGTGGTATTTCTCACATAATTATTTTTGAAATCTACTGTCAAGGATCCGACTGATGAACCCAAACAAGGAAACACCTTCGAGACTTTCCGATCTCTTAATGCAAAGCTTTATTGAGTACACCATATTGGCACATATGAAAGTAAAACCAGCTCTGGCTGGACCACTCACAAACCCCTATAGTAAAAACATTAACTTCTTCCTCTTCCCTCTGGGTCAAGTCACATTGTCCATCAAATTGGGAAATGTTGTTATGAGAGAGCATCTCTGGGTATAGCCAGATACCTAGCCATTAACCTTGATTCCCACGGTCTGCTTAATCTCATAATGCATCTCTCCCTCCACTATTGTTGGACTGGGCACTTCCTTTTAGATCGGCCTCAACCTAGATCCTCTGTCTGGTTTCAGCAAGCTGCAGTGAAAAATTGAGTGCACTTTACCCAATATTCTAGGCAGTTTCAGTTCTACCATAACTGAGTTAATCACTTTTACAATTGGAAAATGTCTTATGTATTTGGGACCTAGTTTCTTGTACGGAATTCTCAATTTCAAGTATTTGGTAGACAGATCCGGACATGATAGCAGTGTTCCAATATCTCAGGGGCTGCCACAAAAAGAGGGAGTCAAGCTATTTTCCAAAGCACCTGAAGGCAGGATAAGAAGCAACGGGTGGAAACTAATCAAGGAGAGAAGCAACCTAGAACTAAGGAGAAACTTCCTGACAGTTAGAACAATTAACCAATGGAACAACCTGCCTCCAGAAGCAGTGAATGCTCCAACACTGGAAGTTTTTAAGAAGAGACTGGACAGCCATTTGTCCGAAATGGTATAGGATTTCCTGCCTGAGCAGGGGGTTGGACTAGATGACCTCCATGGTCCCTTCCAACTTTA